TATATATATATTTATTGTTAGATATAAATAGTCATTATTATAAGAATATTTTCCGTACAAAAATTGCAAATTTTTTTTTAATTTATGGAAAAGACAAACTATATCAAAAATTTTTTTGTATTACACTAAATATTCTCGCAATTTTTATAGAAGAAAATTCTTTCTAATTTTAATTAAAAAATTGTTCAGATTATACAAGAATATCTGAATCTGAATATCTGAATGACCTTTCTTCGCAAACATCTCTTACAAATAAATATTTATTCTGATGTTTTCTTTATCATGCGGAAGTAAAGTATACGATAGTCTTATTGATTGTTGTTAGTTTTAGATAAAAATCATTACTAATTGTAAGTGGATTTTATTTATTTGCATTCCAATATGACGTACGCAATATCATGTGGTTTGAAGAAAAATATATCTTGTTTGTATCCGGGAGCAAAGATCAAAAGAATCATGCAATATACTGACCTCTCACAGGGCATAAGAATTTTTAGAAACATTATTATATATTACTTGATGGTATTATAACAATAACTTGAAAGAAATGAGTTTATTAATTTATGAATAAATGAAAACATGTTATATAACAAATCGATTTTTATTAGTAAGATCATATCTATTTAATATTTACTGTAATTACTTCTTTTCTATACTTTTTCATTTTAATTGAAATATTAATATCCAGACTTTCAATGCGTGCACGCATATCGCATGCCTATTATCGCATGCCATATTTCATAATCATTAAATAATTTATTTTTACAATTGATTGAAAATATATGTAGTTTGTGCTGCTTAAATTTTAATTTAACATACGTTCTTTAAATCAGATTATTATAATTTTTTCCACGATATCGCGCATTTATACTCCTTCGAAATATAAAATATAAAATATTTTTTCTTCTAAATAATTCAGAAGGGTATAACTCCTTTAAGATATTTTTTCTAATATACAATTAAAAATTTTTTTAGTTATTTTTTTTTTATTTTAATTATTCGAATTATTTTCTTATCGAAGGATCTATTTTTTCTCTCTTATTTATTCTAGAAATCTTATCTTTTTTCTAATTTTTTATTTCAGTTATTGCCAAGACTCTCAACATTCTTCATGTATTCTTCATACATTTATTTTAATTATCAGAAAGTACCTTTTAGTGTAATGATCATTTGAAAAAGTATCTTTTAAATTTTTTAATGCTCAATATTTGTAAATCATTTTTTAAGTCTAGGTCCACAATTTTGCTTTAAGAAACCTTAAAGTTGTAAAAAACTGAACAATCACAGTTTATTTTTTTTATATTCGACTGTGATTATTATAATAAATAAATAAATTGGTTAATTTCTTATGACTTTACGGCTTAAAATCCATTTTACGTAAACATAATTGTAAGTGATCGTAGTTGTAACAATTCACCAACCACAGTCGGATAGTCTCCTTGTATTCAAGTATGATTAGTCTTACAATTACAACTACATTTACGCAATTGTAGATCGTCGGGCTTAAGGCCTCTTACAACAAAGTTATAGACCTAGACTTATATTTACTAACATTTTGTAAAGTTTTTCTATATTAATATGCGTTGTGCTTCTCCCACCAAACAGAAAGAATCTGCATTGACCTTGAAACATTAAATCATTGGAATAGCAGTCGTTTCATAAATCCCGCGGTCAACATAATTCTCATCCCGACTGTGCATTCGTGCTTCGTCGATTGTGGCAAGCACATCGTCGTCGTCTTCTCAATCGTCAATCACGACGCTGCAGCTGATCATCCACAACTCGTCTCGAGTTTAATCACGTTTAAATACAATATTAATGCAAAGTCATGCCGCTGATAATCTTCTAACGTATCACATCGTTGTTATCGAACTTTTAATACTACGCGCCGGTTCAGTACAAGCAGTCGGTCGGTGTTTGATTGTCAGTGCACATCCGACCACGACTTGACACGCGACGCGACGCCAAGGGAGTGGTCATTATCGACGTAATAAGTGAGGTAATATAGATTTAATATATTGATATATATAGATCTGAGAACAAATCAAACGAATCCTTATTCTTTCGCGACACGTTATTAAATATATCTGTTATGAAATATTACTTAAAAAAATTAATTTACATTAAAATTTTATTGATTCAATTTGTTTTTTTATCATCTCTTTTTCTATTTATTTTGGATATTATTGTTGGAAATTA